TGTGTGTGTGTGTGCGCGCGCGCACGAGCGCGTGTTAGTTTGTAAAAAAACCCATCTCCAACCATTTCTGACCTAATCCCCTCCTCAACTACATACCGCCACATTTTTCCCGCCTATACGGGCAAGGACCTGTCCCATGTACCCCCTCCCCTCATTTTCTCCTCTTCCCTTATTCCCCCTTCCCCTCCACTCATTTTCTCCTCTTCCCTTATTCCCTCTTCCCCTCCCCTCTTTCTCCTCTTCCCTTATTCCCCCTTCCCCCCCTCTTTCTCCTCTTCCCTTATTCCCCCTTCCCCTCCCCTCTTTCTCCTCTTCCCTTCCCCTCTTCCTCCCACCTCCTCTCCCCCTCCCGTCCCCCTTTTCCCTTTCTCCCCCGACCCCACTAATCTTCTGTACATAGAACCATTCACCGTTCGATCAGTATCTGAAGTAATACTGCCTAGGATTTATTGTGTAATCTGTTACCCATTAAATGTTTGACTACTGGAACCGACAGACTGTGTCGCGTTCTTTCTGTGATTTGTCAGTGCCATGTCCGAAATAGGGGTTGGTTGCAAAACTGACTTGTTACTTTGTTCTTGAGTAATTGCATTCTTTTTTTTGCATGAAGTTATGAAATTGTTTAATACGTTTACTGGTATACACGCACTGGCGTGTGTGGTGTAGTGGTTAGTGGTTAGGCGCCTCGCTGTCGCACGCAGGAGAACCGAGCTCAATTTTCGAATGGGGAGCGATTTTGATCGAGTGTCTGGTTCTTTCTGTTTGGATGTTGTATCCTTCTCATCCCGAGTTGGCCCTAACAACAGGCAGGGTCGAAAGCCTGACTCCTAAATTTACTAAATTGTTTTGATGAAGGCGTAAAAACACTAACTTTTAAAAAGTATTTTGTTTTAGTGTTCCCCTGGAAATAAGGGGGGGGGGGTGTTTGTTTAAAGGATTAAAGGAATCAATAATGTTTGAGAAAGCTTGTTAAACACGGTCCTACTGACACATTTTAGATCACTTAGCTTCTACTTTGCCATAGAAATCGATGTACGGAAAAGACATGCAATAACACCAGGAGGTTGCCCATGATAGGGAAAGGTGGAAATTATTTGTTCAGGGCAAAGATGATTATGATGATGATGATGATGATGATGATGATGACCTATTATGTCGAGCTAAGGTGTAGATGACCATGGTGCATTCCTCTTCGACAATTATATGAAGTATTCTTGAACTTGTTAAAGGAGGGTTTAACGCCCTCCCCCATTTTAGTCAAGTCTTAATAGAGACAGACGGTAGATCGGAGGCCCTTCCACTTACATCATCTGTCAGAACTGAGTGTTACAGTACGGCTGTCTACAGTGTATTTGTGGGGCCCTTCGCCGTCGCTCACACAAGACCTCATTCAACTTCGAGCCCATCGTGGGGAGAATTTACTTATCGAGTATATCTGAGGAGTCCACTGAAAAAAACGGGCATTGTGACAAACTGAAAGTCGAGAGGGTATCTATTTTGAACACTTCTTGACTCAAAACTGTATTTTTGTTCAAGTGTTTGTTGATTATTGTTGATAGATTTCCCATCCAACAAACATATAAAATACTAGCTGGGCCTCTTTTCGATGAAAGGAATGATCTGTGCATTAACTTCAACTGAAAGTCATTGGTCTACTATATTTACACTCTACTGGAAGAGAGCAATAAATCTTGAGAGAAAAGTGACATATGTCATATGTTTCCAAGTTGCCAACCAGTCGAATTTAGCACCAAGTAAAAAAAGAAAACATGAGGCTAGATCTATACGGGTAGAACACTTAAAATAGTGCTCAGTGTTGAGCGACCATGCGCGATTGTATCGAACTGAAGTACGACTTGAAATAAACAAACGTGGCGGATTTTCTAAAATTACAGAGACAAAAGCGTCGCCTACAAAAGCGATCGGCGAAATAAAGAAATTTAGCTTTTTTTCAGCAAAACTGTCTCGAAACTGAAAAAACGAAGGGAGTCATGATCTGGAGAATATTTTTAAGAATCTATTGGTGAAAACCACATGTCGATCGATGCAGCCGTTAAAAAGCCTTTTGAACAGCAGCATTCGGCCACCACAAATAGATAATAGAAATCACCGTTGAAATAAATATGAGGTAATGAGTCCATAAGGTTTTAAAATTGACACCCTCTCAATTTCCAGTTTGTGACTATGCCCGTTTTTTCAGTGGACTCCTCAATCTGTCTTTCCGACGAGAAGCTACGTCCCTCTCAGTCCACGCTAGTCCTGACAGACAGGATCGACGTAATCCGTCTCTTAAATGATTGAAACTGTACCGACAGGGGCCGGGGGTGTAAAACAATCAACGAGTACAGTTACGATTATTTAAAAGGGAAGTGTGTGTTTAAGAATATCACACACACACACATACACACATACACACACATACACACACACACACACACACACACACACACACACACACACACACACACACACGCACTTATACAAGCACATATACACCTACACACATAAACACACATAGACACAAACAC